AGCAGGAAGACGGTGAGCATGTATGGTGACCCAATCAAGCAGGCAGGACATTCTCAACTTGAACTACAAAGAAAACTGCGGAGGCCCAGAAGTGTTTGCATGCTGGCAGGCCCAGGTCCAATCCTTTCAGAGCCCCAGACCCAACAACCCTTCAGGAGGGCTGACATTTTAGAAAACAACCAGCAGCGCAGAAACAAGAAGGCTGAGTTGAGAGCAGTGGATGGCCTTAGTCCTGCTGTGGCTCAGCGGCCTTTGGTCACTACAGAGGTGACCCACAGGGACCGCCAGAGGAGCTTTAGGCCCAGACCGGTCAGTATGACCGTGCTGGAGCTAGGAAAGAGGGGCTCTGATGAGGAGATAGACAGCCAGAAGAGTTGCAGTCACACCGGCAGCAATAGAGGAGGTTTTCTCAAAGGTGGCTTTCGTTGGCGACTATTTGGCAAAGCATCCCAAGCTAAAAGCATGGAGAAGGAAAGTGACAAAGATATTAAATCTTCTCCTAAATTAAGCAAATCTGATGCTTCAAAAAGTACACTGAGCAGTTTAAGACGGAGCCTCAGTCTGCGAATCAGGAGGACTCGGCCTCGGGACAAAGTCACTTTAGGGTCTGAGGGAGAGCAGGATCGTAAAGAGATTAAAAGTACTTCTGAGGAGACAACAATGCCTCTACAGCCTTTCTCGTACCTCACAGGAAGAACTCTACCAATTTCCATTGAGCGGAGAGAAGATGGGGGCATGCAGTACATTCAGTATCACAGCAGGGGGAAGGTTAAGGTAATGGAAGTACCCCTCTCTCCAGCAAAACTCTCTTCCAAACCAGTTCAGGAAGAACCAAGCATATGGCACCTCATAGCCAACCGTTTCAGGAGAAAAGAGCAGCCATACAGTGGCAAATGTGAATCCCAGCAATCCCAGAGCAAGGACACCAGCCAGTATCCCCTGGTTAGGAATAATAAGTCACAGCCAGTTGCCATAGAGGTTCTGGCAGGCATTGACTCTTACAAAGGTCAAGGTAAGACCTGCAAGATTGCAGAATTTATTTTTCAGCTCAATTCTCCATTTATAGCTCCTTGTTCACTGCAAAGAGAATCACAGCTCAAGAGAAACACAGCAGTGTTTTTTTAAATGTTTTTTTAGAACAGGCAAATGAGAAACACATGGGGGATTGTGAGTTTGGAAGGCATTCAAAAATGTCTGGTTCCAGAGAGTCCTTTTGGAAGTTCTATTTCTGTTTTGGGTACTTTATTTTCACAGTATTTTTCAAGTGAGTTGTCTGTTTGTGTGTCCTTAACACAGCAATTACTTTGCCTTACATGAGATCTTTAAAGTTCAGTAAATGAATATGCAAGTACAGTAAACTCAAATTACCAGTGACTGATAAGAATGCATTATAATGGCTTGTTTTATAGTGGTTCAGCTGTGGTATATCACAGGCCCAGTACCGTCTCTGTGTTACCCAGATACAGGGCATGGGAGCCTTGATAATGCTGTCTGTCGGCGTCACAGAGACACAACTTAAAGCAGTAGCATTAAAGCAGTTAGTGGCTGTAATGGGGATGCCTTTGGCAGCCTAGCAGGGCTAAATTAAGAGGGCTTGCTATAATGATTGGAGAAGAGAAGATGACTTAAGTACTATGTTTAAAGTTTAGTTCTGACAGTGGAGTGTGTTTGTCCTGTTGCCTGGAAGAACAGGCACAGAGGCAAATATTTGTAACTATCTGAATTAACAGCTGTGATTTGCTACATTTTGTGCGTCAAGCTCCAACTTGACACCTTGGCACAAAGGCCTAATTAGTCATCAATAACAAGTTAAAGACTTCTCTTAATCTCATGTCTTATATATTCTATTTTCATTTTCTTTACATCAATCTTTGAACCAGAAAGGCAGATATTTTATTCCCAATCTAACATAAACTTCATAATAGGTCCCGAGGTCAACTTTGTTTGTCTCCTGTTTGTATTCACAAATGACCTGTTACTAGGGAAACCTGTTACTTTGTGGTGGACTGTCAGGTAGTATTTGTCCATTTATTCCACTGCAGAGTCAGTCAGTCAGGCATTAGGAATGTAGGTGTGCCGATCAGCCTGTGTAAAGTTGGGTGCTCAGTGCCCTGGGTGGGACTGTGCGCCTGTCGCTACCTGCTTAAGTGTTTACTTCTACATTAAATCCAGAAAGCTGAAGCCCAACCTTCCCACAGCTAAACATACAGACATACACGCGCGCACACATGCCCGCACACCCAGTTTAAGTGTGTCTTGATAGTTTCTAAATCTTGTATGTGAGCGAGGTCTCAGGGAAGGCAGGTAACAAGGTGAGGGGTTTGAGACGTATGGACTGTGTCTCCGCTAACACCTGTGGATGAACAAAGCCACTCTCTCATGCCTGTGCATGCATGAGTGATCAGTGAACCATGTGCTGAGATGGAGGCTGTCTGGGGGTCTTTGGGCTGGAGGAGCCGCTGCGGGTTATGAGATGTAGGTGGTCACTGGTGCACTTATCTAGTGAAGGTTGCAATACTGGGACTGGCACTGTAGATAGAACTCTGTAATAAGCCTCAGTATGAGGTGTCCATGGGTTACAGCAGACAGAAAAGTGCTCATTGATGTGTATTTTTTCTGACTTGCCATTATGACAATTTAAAGAAAATCTCCCGTGTGTGATCCATCCTCCTTTATCTTGAATCTGACATAAAATGAAATTCCCTTCACTTCTTTTTTTGCTGTGTCTCATTAGATACCATTTCCTTTGCTTTCCTGCCAACAATATTTCCTGTGTCAACTTTACCTTGTAGTTGGAATTTTTCTGCCTGCTTCAAAACATCCAGCTTGAAAATGAATATAAAAGATGCATTTGTTTATTAGGTGAGCCAAACTTTCAGCAGGTAATTATGTTCAAGACATACAGACAGTGACAGTAACACTGGACTAATGCCCTTTCATCTGCTGCAGGACACATGGGGAGACAGTGAGATATTAAAGAAAATTACTGAGTGAAACATAGTCTGTGCATGAGCAGAGGGAAATCTGTCAGAAACTGAACTTGGATTTGAGCATCTGCCACTGCAAATCTCAGCCAGGGAGCATTTTGTTCGTCAGGACTGTAACTGAGCAGCAACCTGCTGTTCTCCTATCCAGAAATGTTTTTCACCAATGGGTCTGCAAATGATTGTTTGAGTAGGGGTCTGCAATTTATATTTTCTTTCTTTAAGTCATGGCTGATTGTTTCTACTAGTTTGCTCTGCTGCAGTTTTGTGTAGCAAAAAAAGAAACTTCTTACACTCTAAACTCCACAAATTATGCCAGTCACCACAGGCATTGTACTGTGATACATCTCAAAACCCCAATTTGCAGATCTTATGTTAAACTAGTCAGCACACATAGAGAGTGCAAACCTTATAATATGATGCTTGATTATGAAAACACACTGCTTGCATTTGGAATGATGCTGATATCATTATTAGTTTGAAAGTTATTAAAAAAAAATGATAGCCATGCCAGACAATCACTTGTTGGTTTATGGATAAAACGAGCACTTCAGTGAGTGGACGGTGGGCAAAGTGGTGAAAACGTCACATTTCTGCAAGTCTGCGTTCTGCTTGTTCAACAGCTGTTTGATAAACTGCTCATACAGTCTCCATTACTGACTGATTGTTGCACTATGGAGTGATCCTTCATGTGCTCTGCTCAGCTGTGTGTGAGAGAGGAGCATAGACCGACCAGCACAGAATACAGTGGAAAAGCAAAATAGGACTGTCCGCGTAAACCTGTGAGGTTATGCTAGGTGATGGTTAAGGGAAGCACAGCGTATACCACTTGTTAAGTTCTTGCAGTGGAAATGCATCTATAATGTGCAGCTGGAACATGGGTGTCCTTGCCGACAGACCACTGTGCTCTGAACGAGATGTAGCTGTCTGCTAATAAAACTAGCTTGGTCAGTTGAGGAGCACTTACAACTCTGAAAACATCCGAACAAATTCTAATTACTTGGGCATTACTTGGATAGACTGACCATATATTCTCAATCTAACTGGTTAGTGAAAAAATTTCAAAACTTAATAAAATGGCATAATATCAGGCCTACAGATAAAAATGATTACACCTTTGAGTCTGGCTCAAACTCTCTGCTGTCACTGCAAAGAGTAGGTCCTTCCTCATCTCTGGGCTGTCGCTTTGCTGGGCTCCTTCAGTCCGTCTCACAAGTGAAGTGTACTGAGTGACAGCACTAGGTGTCCATTGACAATAAATGGGCAGTTGTTGCTAGCCCAAGGATTTGTCTCCATATGTACTTGGAGTTCTCAGCAGCACAGCTGTGCACTTTGGCAAGCTGGGGTCTCACATACAGTCAACAGCCTTTCCAACACTCACAGTGGTTAATAATCTTTTAAAATATGTCTGTATCTAAATTAAAATGTAATCGTTCTGTAGGCTTTACCATACCCCTGCAAAAAATTTCATCAAGATCTGTTCATTACTTCCTGGGTTATGCTGCTAACAAACAGACCAACAAACCCGACAAAAACATAACCCTCGCCCTTGGCAGAGGTAATTGAAGTCCTGTCTGAGCCAAGATGTCCAATTTGTTTTCAGGGAAGTGATCTAAATTTTCACTCTGTAAATTATGATGGTGGGAAAGAATGGTTGGTAAGTTAGTCGGAGCTAAAGGGAAAATTTAAACCTCAAAGTTGTCCTCTGTTATTCTCAAAACCACTTCAGATTCACTGCATATAGAAATGCATGTGTGTGTGTGTGTGTGTGTGTGTGTGTGCAAACACTCAAATAACCACATGCAGGGTTTCTGCTCACATTGCACTTGTTTTTTTTTTTCTCATGAAATGACATAAGTGGAGGGCAACTGTGCTTCACTACTCTAAGGCCTAACAGCCATTTTTATCCGGGTGTACATGAGCAGCAAAGTGAGAAACCTGACAAACAAGCTGGCAGCACAGTTTTCACCTTGCAGAGACAAAGACGCTGGTATTCTTGGTAGGAATGCTGGAGTTTTCTGTTTCCACTGGCATTTCTGGGACACAGTAATGTGGTGATGCTCATATTTAAAGAATGACATAACACAGAGCACATGGATTCAGTTTGGCCTTGGTTTTTCTTTTTTCTTTTTTTTGTTTAAGCAGGGCACCAAACTGGTTGTACTATAACTGTGGCAAAAGTCACGCATCTTTTCTATGTTACAGTTTGTTTAAGGGACCCGGCGTTCATAGGAGGAAATGCATCAGATGAATTCCTAAAAACGTTTTCAGTGTTGTGAAGTGCACACAGGGGGGTCCAGTTTTGTTTAAAAGCTGCAGTTCCTTTCTTATTTTCTGTTTGTTTGTCCTTGAACTCATAAGCGGGGTTGTTCTGATCAATAATAAGAGAATGTACTGTTCCAGGGAGCAGCGCTTGTTAGCAGCCAACAATGCCATTTCTGCATTGGCCTTTGATGACCCTTAATTTTCTGCATGGTTATCTATGGACTGGTCTTTGTTAGAATGTGCCTCTCTTTGAAAGTGTGATTATGTAGATCAGGCAAATGTGAAAAATGCGTGGTTGGCTGCTTTTCTCTGTTTATTTTTTCAGTATTACTCTGTTTATTTCTCTATTCATTGATTGTGTGCTAATATTAGGTTACCACAGCAAAAACTGGAACATTTCATTGCATTGGTCTAATTGCTTATTCTGACTACTGCCTGTTTTTACCTTTTCATTTCTAGCTATGTAAAACAACAACTTAATTTAAACATATAAATTACAGAGAATGCATTTGGAAATAATGGGTCTGTACAAAATGAAAGGAAATCCAAAAAAATGAGGCAGCAGCTTTATCTGATTGTGACCTGTATTCAGTTTCCACCACTTTAAAACTGAATCAGAATCGCTCGTGTCCTGACATGTCAGACCCACACTAAGAGGGCTTAACATGAGGCGTGCTGTTTAAAAACTACTCTGCTCCACACAATGCTTGGTGAAAGGCCCCTCTGTTCAGGGTGCACTCTCCTCCTCTCCCACAACAAGAGAGGCAGCCAAAGCACCATGAGGCGCCTTTGTAAATGGAGGTCAGAAATAAGTAAACATTTTAACAGTGTTTTTTTTTATTATTATTATTCTTAATTGTAATAAATAAAGGGTTTTTTTGGCTCAGGTTTGCTCAGCTATGAGTCATGCATGCTTTTAGTATATGTTTCAGAGAGAAAATAGAAACATGTCATATAGTGACAGTGATTACTATTTATGCTGTCATTCTTTCATATTAGCATTGCCTGGGGCACAAAGGGAGACCACGATTGCTGCAACAAACAGGCTTAGTGTAATGATGGCTCCCTATTTGGTGGTTGAACACTTTAATTGTTATGGTTGAGATGAGGAAGGAGGGTTATTTGGTATTACATAACCTGTTGCCTGGAGACAGGGAGTCTACACTCCTGTATTAGAGGTGGTATCTGCTACTTGGGGGACTCAGATGGTGAGAAAGCTCTGATTTAAAACAGGAAGGTGGTCTTTGTTCTAATAGTTGTTATGACACATTGCTGTGTACTCTATCACTGTGGGAAACGGGCATAACTTGTGAAGGTGTCATTTGTGCTCTGCAGGGTTTGTATTGTTCTTTGTAGTGTTCCTTCCAACCACCGTTCTTCAGAGCATTATCATCTGGTCAAAGTCCCAAACAAGTTGCATCAAGCCTGATAGTAGCAGTCTTTTAAAATGCCTACATTTTCTTGCACTGTTTATACTGAAATAGCCTGCATATTATACTTACCTGAGGTGTTTCACAATTCCTTCTTGGAAGCTGTGTTGTACCTGCATAAACAAATTCTGATAGGGTGATTGTTAGGGACTGGTTTTTTGAACAATGGTCTAAAATGTAAAAATACTCTTTATTTATTTATTTATTTATTTAAAATAAAAAAGCAATATTCACATTTCATAAGCTGAAACTTTTGCCCTTTCATTAAAGATAATGAAATGATGAAATAATTATTACAATATTTGCAGATTCATTGTATGGTGATTTCACAAGTAAGTGGTAATTGTTGTAGCTCTAATGTGTTCAGCTGTTTGCTTTCTGGTCATTTTGAACAAATCCTCTTGGGGAATAATGTGAAAATAAAAATAAGATAATAAAATAAGATGGTTTCTTATGGAATACAGAATCAGCCACCCTGTGTGTATGGCTGAAATCAAGCTCAAAGTTGACCTTTTTTAACTCTTACGAATCATTTGACCTTTTGAGAAAGCCTGCTATACTATGGAGTACAATTTCACTGGTTTAATGTAAAGTTTTAGTCCTCAGAAATAAAGGTTGATGGGAAAAGTAGATGAAATGTGTTATCTGTTAGGTCTAGCCTATATACAGTAACAGCTACACAATGCATCATAAAACATTTTGCACACACTATACATAGTCTACAAAATGCATCTGTATAGTCAAGTTGGTATTATCCACTGAGATGTACTGTGTATGCCATAGTAACTGTAGCAGGGGTCAAATGGGACACAAGCAGATAGATAACCTCTCACTGCTGCCCGGCTTCACTTCTTTTTAATCTTTTTCTTTTTTAGACTCTTTCGTCAACAGCCAGGAATGGACATTGAGTCGGTCAGTTCCAGAGCTGAAAGTGGTGAGTGACTCCTTCTATTCTGTCAGCTCACCCTGATGGATATAAATGTTAGTGGGAAAACATGTTCTGTTCATGTAAAACCAGTTTTGCATTTCACATGAGAAGAAACAGTTGAGAAATTGGCTGGAATTTTCCCTGACACATAGTGGATGATTTTTAACAAGATGGGTTGGCATGGAGATGCCGGGTGGTTTGCAGTGGGACACGAGATGACTGACAGTTTTGGGCTAAACTAGTGACACATCCTGAGTCTGCACCCGCCAGTGAAGCGCACTCACGGTTACTGCCAAATGCACAGCTGACATCCTCACATGATTTAATGCCATCCTCTCATAAAAACCAGCAGCCTTGAAAAATGGCACTTCACCATTCCGCCAGCTGATAAAATATTTCCATGGTGAATTCATTGTTGCCTCACCTTGCAAAAAGAGAAGACAAGGAAGTGAAAAGCGGAGAATCCAAAGGAAGCTCAAAGACAGACTTTTTTGTGTGTGTGTGTGTGTGTGTGTGTGTGTGTTTTGCCTTGAAACACTTTAAATGCATATATTTCCTTTTATATTTCAGAGGTGTTAATTGGCTGCTTCCACACAGGGGTTTGTTAAATGGACCTGGAAATACTGAAGTCACTGTTGCTTCTGCTATCAGTCATTCCTTTGACAACTTTCAAAGAGCTGCTGTTCAGCGACAAGGTCATACTGAAAAGAAGTTGTTTCAGAAGCTAATAGCAAAGTTGACTTCATCTTTTTCATGCTGCAATAATAAAGATAGGAACTGGGGTCAAAACATTTCCTGTAGATTAGTTGAAATAATTATCTTAATCCTGTGAGGAATCCTCTAATACATGTGCTACAACTTCTTCGTAGTTTTTGTGAAACGGTCAAGTCTTGTTTCGTTGCCATCTTTTGATAATCAAGCCCACATTCTTTGATTTCCCCAGATCTGATCTACAAAGAGGAGTAGCTAAAGGTTTTGTACTGGAATAGTGCTGATATGACAATTTGATTTTATGAAGCCTATGTAGCAGCAGGTCACAAAGCCCAACAGTTTAAACAGCAGGAACACTGAGCCTGTGGTGCATTCAAAGTCGATTTTTTGTTGACTCATAGCTCACCACACACAAGCTCGGAGTTAAAACTTCTTCAGTTTATTCTGCTTGTGTACCTCATGATATATACTGTACACCTCAATTATCCAGAGGGTCGCTGGGGGAAAGGCCTTAAAGAGGTCTTTTCTTTTGGGCCTCAAACATCCCTATAATTAGAACCATACCTGGCTTTAACACCCACTAATGATCTGAAAAAGAGGGCAATGGTGGGTAGAGGAGGAGGGGAGAGAGGAGATGAGGCATGTTCCAACCTTTATTCTTCCCAGACATGCTGACATCATCAGTCCATGCTCCACCATGCATCACCCTGAAGGCGCTGTAGTTAGGTCTGCTTGAGACGCCAGGGAGCGGAAGGAGGGAAAAGACTACAACCAAGTCGATGATGAGGACTTTCCTCTTAATATTTCAACCTCATATAGCCTGCATTAAATACCAAACTCTGGTTTTTATGGTTTTGTTCCTTAACTATGCACATATTAACGTTACCTAGGTTCTTACATATATGCCAATATAAATATATTTGTTATAAATTAATGTGTCACCCTTTGATGTATAGTATCAGTGGGGCTTTAATGATTAAGTGTTTTGACAACTATTTTTGGGCTGTGCATTCAAGGGAACTTGTACAACTAATATTTTTTTTAATTCTTTTGAATTCAAATTTCTGTTATTTACCCTCCTTTTCTTGTCCATGAGAAATTGGTAATTTCAGCTAATGTAACTCTTGATGCACTGTTTTGTTTGTTAGTTTTTTGCTGTAATAAAAAGTTAACCTGAATTTGCAGATAGGGAGCTAAAAGCTGCAAAGCCACCATTATGATTCATTCATATCTTGTAAACAGAAAAAACACTCTCAGCACAAGGTCCACTTACTTTATTTAGAATTGCTGAGTAAGGCTGACAACTTCAGAAACATAAGAGGACCTTGTGCTGGGAATTTTTTGTTAGATCATGGTCCTTTATGCATACAGTACATACAGTATGTGCGTGGTTCATACCTGTCATGTTATGGCTGTCAGCAACAATCACAGTTTTTTAATCTTGGCTTTGCAGGGCATTGTGGGAAATCTGTCCAGTGGGAAGTCTGCCTTGGTCCACCGGTACTTGACAGGAACATATGTGCAGGAGGAGTCTCCTGAAGGTAAGAATCTATTGGAGGTGAGGGTCAGGATGTGATTCTAAACATGTCAGATAGTCAAACACAAAGGTTAAGGTTAACATTGCATGGTGAATATAGTTCTACCTTTTATTGTCATAGTCTCAGTGTCTACATTAAGCGAATGTTTTTCAAAGGTGTCAAAATCAAATGATAGAAAAACCTACTGAAGTCAAGCATGTTGGCTCTGATTGTCTCAGTGTAACAATAAACATTAGGATGGGTACTGCTTTGCCTTGTGAGACTATTTTTCCAATAAGCATGTATTAATATGTTGCGTGTTGGATTATATCAAGCTTCTGGATGCCAAGATAGATAATTGTCTTGGTTTAGTTTATAAATTTTCTTTTCACTCCTCCACTAAAACTGGCGAGATAACAACAAAGCATAATGTTTAAATTAAATCGAAATCTAAATTAGGTCTTTTAAGATTGCACATTATTACACACAGGAATGAAACTAAACCCATAATTTCTCTGGGCTATAAATGAAAGTTTTTACCAATCCTACTTCCTGGATGTCCTGATGGACAATGAGCCAGTTTAACATGTTTATGAGGTTGTCTCCAGAAAGTGACCCCTTGCCACTTTAATTCACTGGCTGAGATTTAAACATCTGATTCTTCAATTTATTCTTGAAAGCCTGTGCAATTTATCAGCAAAATCATAATGAGAATACCCCCTTATGACCTGAAAGGTAAGTCATTCTTTTAGAAATCCACAAAGATGTCAGCAAATCTGGAGTTAACTGATGATCTTTAAGTGGTTTGCAGTGCATTTTACTGTATTTATAGTGAGGATGAGACATGAAGCACATAATTAGCTTCTGGCATTTTGCTACACCAAGGGAGAAAAGTCCTGATAGCTTAATTAGTCCTTGAGAATTCAATGGTGGAAATGCTGGTAAAAACAGAATGTGTTGTTGCTGTAATCAAGGAAACATGTTGGCTTAGATTCGTTGCTGCGAGTTGCTGTGATACAACATACCTGTCTCATGATTAGCAGCTGCCCAGGCTCTCTTGGTTTTTTTTTTATTATTTTTTATGTGGCTTAACACAAGCTCTATGCCGGGTTGGACATTTACATTGTCTAGCAGAGAAAGGTTCACTCATGCCTTTTTTCCCCCCCAGTGTGTTTTTTTTCCTGGGCTTTTGCTAACACCGGATGGAGCTCCATTGGATTGTAGCTCTGTGTCAAGGTCTAAGCCTCTGTGTAAGCAGAATATGCTTACTGCATGTTAACCATGCCTACCAACTTCCCGTCTCTCAACTGCAGGCTGTCTGTAAGATTATTAGTCGTCTCTTTTTATGTGATGTTAAACAACAATTTAGATATTTTACTTTCTTTACTTTTCATCTTGTCAAAGGAAGAGAAGGAGCGTGGTAGTAGCCTGCCTCTTGTAGTCACAGCACTGGCTTTCTCTTTGGATGCACTGAATTGGCTCAGCTCTCAATAAAGACAACAGCATCCTGGGTTATTATGTAACCGGTCTGTTTACTTCATTTCCCAATCATGTTCTTACTACAACTGTATGCTTTCATTATGGATTCTGGTTTCACAGGGACTTTCCATAATCTGTTTTGGTGTATTTGGACATGCTGCCAGCTTGGATACAAACACCACTTTCTGATAAATCTCTGGTATTCTCTCCCCCCCCTTTTTTTTACATGATTCAGAGCCAGCAGATATACGTATAGTTTCTCCCTCCTTTGTCTGAATCGTCAAAGCTCTGTGACTCAGTTAAAAATAATGGTTGTATGTGAATCTCTTGCTTTTACACAACCTGCATCCAGCAGGGCTTGAAAGCCTGTGCAAAAAGCTGGGAGAATCCCGTATTTGACAAGTGGGCAAAAAGTGGACTTAACCAGGGTGGCAGTGTGGCTCAAGTAGATATGTATTGCTTACTGAGACAGGAATTCGCTCTGCCTATTAAAAATTACAGGGCCCAAGCTACAGTTATTCCCATTTGGCTCTTCTGTGATGTGACATCTGTAGTTCCTAATTTGCTGGTTGCACTCTATTTTGCATGAAGACCAACTAACATTATAAAATTCTTGGACAGGTACAACAGGTGTAATTTTACACATCTACTGTCTCCAGCATCTATATTTGATACATTTCATGATCCTTCCTAGGCATTTTCAAATTTGTGCGTTATTCAATTTGGTTATATTTTTTAACTCCTATTACATATTCATGACACAGCATTTACACTCCCAGAGACATCTCTAGCCACACAGCTTTCTCATTTGAATGTTTTTAATCTCCACAGCAACACAAACCATTGAAATGATATGCAAAATCTAATTTACTACATAGTTCTCCCATTGGCCTCTTCTTTATCTGCAGCCTGCTTTGCTGGCGGCAAGGAACATGCATTTGTGTTTGAAAAGAAATGAAGAAAGAGGGAGAGAAACTCAAGGCTGCATGGGGGCCAAGTGTTGTCTCCCTGCTACTATCCTGTGGACGTGGTGTGAAATGAGGCACGCCAGTTCAGAATAAAGATGTAATTTTAAAATCTATGACATGATCTTCCATCGCATCCTTTCCTTTCTTATAGTTTCCACATTTAAAATTGTCTCATCATCTCATTGCAAAGTTTAATAAGTTATAATAAAGCTCTAAAACCAGTCTTTGAACACACTCGTGCAGTGAAGTGAGGACAATGATGGAATGTTTGTAAAGTGAAAACTAGGCCTTCCCAGGATGTGTGGCAGTGCAGTTACAGTGGCACCGAAGTGATTTCCTCAGCATCTGTGCATTAGACACGCTAAATGGCAAATTCACACCCACGTAATTGGCTCCAGAGAGACCCGGCTTCCTGTCACCGTACGATCCGAGCAACAACACAATCAGGAGGGCTAAATTAAGAAGCTGCACTTAAACATGTAGTGTACATACACATCTCGCCAAACTTTAGTCGGACATATGAAGCAGCGTTTTGAGACTGAATTTGGTCTCATCCTCATATTTGTATGATTAATGAGTGTGAATGTGTTTGGGCTTGGTTTACTTTAGAGACCCCTGGTGGTTATATTATTTATTATACCTCTTTATACTGTTACATAGTAGGAAAGACCATGTTGTACTAGCATTGAAAAGACTTTTTCATGTTGTCAGAATGACTAGATAAACTCTTGAAATAAATGTCTCATTTACAGGTGGACGGTTCAAGAAAGAAATTGTTGTGGATGGACAGAGCTACCTTCTTCTGATCAGAGATGAAGGAGGGCCTCCAGAATTACAAGTAAGAGTGCTGATTCTGACGAAAATATCTCTTAAGCTAAAGCTACTCGAAAGCTGCAAGATGTGTCATCCAGACAGGAACTGTTTAGAGACAGACCATTGCTTCTCTGCAGGACTGTTTGGGGCATTGTGAAAAACTATGCGGTTGTTCTGCCAAATGCATTTAAGGGGGAACAACAGATCAATGAGCAACCTGAGCCAAAATCATTTTTGTGGTTAAAGGGACAGTACAATCATCCTGTTAGTATGTGAAATTAATGGAGTATTAACCATAATAATAGTAGTAATGGAGCCCATTTAATGCAGAGAGGGCTTTAATAACTCATCATAAGAGAACATGTTATCGATATTATGTGGAACCGTTTTATGTTTTTTCAAAGGGCGTCGAGAGAGAAAGGGCTTCCCTTATTCTCTTATCTTATGTTACCCTTGAACTATTCTATACCAGAGAGTAGTTGCAGCTCTTCCAGGCCTTAAATACCCTTAACATTAGGTCTTTGTGTTTCATACAGTAATATTTCATTCAACCTGGAGTTAATGGAGGATTCATTATAACATCCACTTTTCTAAGATTACAGTGTCTGGATTATCCTGTATTCAATCTTTTGGGGTTTTTTTTTATTATCCACACATTTTCACTCTCCCCATTCTCACCAATGTTGTTCTGAGACACAACAGGCAGCTGTTTCCAATGAATAAGCTCTGATAAAATCAGTGTACACTATCTACCAGGCAGACAAAATACTTTGCAGCTAGGTGAGTAAGATATTTTCTTCAGGAGCTACTGGAGGAATATTGGACTTTTATCAAGTGGTCAGAAACACAGCACCAAATGAATGTTGCTCTTTATCTGCTGGATGTATAAAAAAAGCAATTGTCTGATAACACGTTTTCCATATCAACCTTAAATGTCATTGTGTTTACTGTTCCTGCTGCTCTGTGACAGCCAAAAGATCAGTTAATGCAGATTTAAGCACAGGGCTTAATTAAATATGTGTACTTTCCACAACTAGAAAAATCCTTTTTATCCTTTTTTATTTGCTAAGACTACAACACATTTACACTATTTTTTCAGCTAACTAGCAAAACTGTGGTTTATATAACAAAACCTGAGCATCAGAATGTGTTAATTTTTATTGTTACTCTTTAGGTTTTTGTTTTTAAATTAGTAGTTGGTAATTTTTGTTACTTAAAATAGTTTAAACTATAGCATCCTCAACAGGTAGATAAGGGAATTGAAAGGATTCAGATTTAATAAGCAGATATAATAACATGCTAACAAAACCCAGCCTTAGAGAATACAGGCAGACTGGCTTGAAGCTTCATTCACAAGATTCAGTTTCTTGTCACATGTGAGTTCAGTGTAAATTTACAATGCGCAACTGGTACCTGGCCTGGCAGCGTCCCAATTCACGCTTGCATTACGCTCATTGAGATTAGGGAATAGAAATGAGTTTGGCTCAGTTGTCAGCTGCCTGTATAATTAGTGGCATAATTAAAGGGCTTCATTATGTTCCCACTCACAGAAGGCTGAGTAGAGTTGTGGCTTGGAGGCTTGATTTGCCATTCAGTCCCTATGGGGACCTGGGCAAGATGTGGCAGCTGAATGAACAAGAGGGCAATATAGGATTGATACGTGATTGTCCCTGTTCATGCTACACTGGGTTCTGCTTACCCTCTGTTTTTTAATACAGTGGAATGTCATTAGGATTGATTTCCTCGCTCAAGGGAAACTTCTCTCTCTATTTTGATCAGAATTTTTGCAGAGATCATGAATGTAGATGCCACAGCAAATACAAAGATTAATAGTTTATGATCGCAATAGGAATACAGAAAACTGACAAGAATTCAGTAGTAGTGTTTTATCATCCACCTTCACTGAGAACTGGTACTTTGTACCATGGTTGTAGCTACACTGCCCCCTTCTGTCTGTATATGTGAACCGCATGATAAAGAGGGCCTGCGACACATTTGCACAAATCAGTACTGAATGTCTGCAACAGCAACACTTATACTTGTACATACTGCCCCATTGCAACAAAAGACTGTATTCACTTGTTTAAGATATAAAAATACAACACATGATAATTGTTTCATACAGTTGTTCCACAAAAAAGTTAGATTGTTATTTAAAATGATTAAAATTTGATCTACTCCTTCTTCTTCTTCACTGAAAAATTCACAGTTTTGCAATGTTCATTTCAAAGCTTTGACTGTTTAGACACACCTGCATCACTGAAATCCGTTAGATAACCGCCCTGGAGGTTTCATGTTTTCACACAACACTGACCATAACTGTCTTGTGATTTCACAAAATCATGCTCGTACAAACACAGTGCAGATTTTTGAGTGTACCAGTGGTTGTAAAGTAAATAATTAATTTGTGTGAATGCTCTTGTGTTATAATGAGGCAGCTTTTATTTCACAGTGCTTCAACATACCTCCTCTGCTCTGTCTTCAGTTTGCTGCCTGGGTGGATGCGGTGGTTTTTGTCTTTAGCCTGGAGGATGAGATCAGCTTCCAGACAGTGTACAACTACTTTCTGCGCCTATCCAGCTACAGGAACACAGCTGAGGTCCCCATGGTCCTTGTTGGAACACAAGGTGTTTGCCCTACATCTGATATACTGTATATGCCTTATATAGTATGCATACTGCATGTACAGTACAGTATATCTTCAGATTAAACCACTGATCATACTTTTCTTATCTTTCGGCCTTAGATGCAATCAGTGCCGCCAATCCCAGAGTGATCGATGACTCACGGGCCAGAAAGTTGTCAAATGACCTGAAGCGCTGCACATACTATGAGACCTGCTCCACCTATGGCCTGAATGTGGAGAGAGTCTTCCAGGATGGTGAGATGAGCTTTAAAGAGGTGGACGTAGGCTAAAACAGGAAGTTGAAGGTGTAGCTTGGACATGATGATGCTTTAGGGTGCAGCACACTTCACTTACCCCCATTTGATTGTGACACAGATTTTAAAACTGTATTTGATTGCTATTGCTTTTCTTGCACCTGAAATAATTAATCGACTAACAGAAACTGAATCTGGAGCTGATGTTTATGATCAATTCCCATTTCAAATAAAGGGGTCATATTAGGCCCTAGCCTAGGTAAGTGCAAAATTATGAGCTAGTTCATCAGTTATGCAATTAGACCAACCTGAAAATCTTGGATTCACAAATTATGACTTCTTCTCTTCATCCCCAGGCTAATTGTAAAGTACTTCCTGTTGTGAGTTATTGCCTGCAACATACATAAATGTCTGTGCGTGCTCGACTCACATGGAGACATTAATATTCTTTACACTGTGTGCTCAGCAGCTGTGATTGTCAGCACACTCAGTGAACAGCGGAGGAATAGTAACAGGCTCACTTCAATGATACAGCAGACATTTTAAATTAAAAACCACTGTCAAACAATACATTTATTAATTATAGAAGCTAAACTCATGATATAGGGTTGCATACAAATGTGGTGCTCTAAGCCTGCAGAGACCAGTTAATATTGTCGTGTGTATAAATGGTGAAAAACACTTTTAATGTCTCTGAAAAGTATCTGGAAACTGAGTTTTTCCCTGAATTTGTAATTGAAGTCATGAAACTGTCATTTGGAAATTCAGCTGCTTCAACTCTGGCACATCACTCCCTAAGGCTGCAGCTCCTTTGACAGCCTGTCATCCCTTCACAAAACATCTGAATATGTAACACAATATTCACTTTGCATTTCATTGTCTGTTGATGCACGGCACGTTGTCTTTCCTCGGTGCCTTAATTGCTTCCTGAAGCCCAATTTGAAATAATTAAAAGAGATGAAGGAGTGTTGGCTGTCTGGAGGAGTCGCTCTGTAACAGCTTGTCTTCTTCATGTATTTGCCATGCTGTAGCAGGCAGTCGGGTGTTAAGGTCCCAGCTGTCAGTGCAACTTCAAATCATCTGTCTTTCCCTCAATGCTAATTCACGCCACGGATCCGTGAACATCACTTCCCTCCATCCGTTTTGCTCCACCCAGTCCCCCACTTGAGTGTGCCGTGAATTAAATGACGTGTTGCGCCAACTGCATGGCAAATCAGGTTGTTCAGATGGTGACAGTAGTGGGATTTGGCTAACATCCTACTGTAGAGCTCAGTGAATGACAGGGACAAATGCAAGTATCATGTTGTCTAAGTACATTTTTTTGGTGAACAGAGGTACCTTTTCCCCCAAGATGTGTATAAACCATCTCTGTCGCTTATCACCTGAGACTTTAAAGGACTAATAAGCAATGTTAATATGTTAATGTGGCTTTGCCCTTTTCTCCTCCAGTTGCCCAGAAGGTTGTGGCCATGAGGAAAAAGCAGCAGCTCTCCATTGGTCCATGCAAATCTCTGCCTAACTCTCCCAGCCACTCATCAGTCCCCGCTGCGTCTCTCCCCTCTGTTCATATTAACCAGGTAAAATGAAGACAGACAGCACTCTGTTGTACTTACTGATCATGTAACCTTAATCTAGAGTTTTACACTATTATATCTCCAGCAAACTCGTTTTACGTATTAGTTATTACTATAAGTCCTTCGACTGTGAATGTGGAATAAAGATTTAGTCCATGTTAGTTCTATCAAAATACATGTGCTTATTTATCATATTTATTCCCTCTCCTTTTCTGACTTTCAATCTCATTTCCTCTGTCTTCCTTCTTCTGATTTCTGTCGGTTCCTCTTAATCTCTCTTGCTCCCCAGGCGGCCAATGGTGGGGGAGCATTCAGTGACTACTCCTCCTCTGTTCCCTCCACCCCCAGCATAAGTCAGCGGGAGATGCGCATTGAGACCATCGCTGCCTCCAATACGCCCACGCCCATCCGCAAGCAGTCAAAGCGCCGCTCTAACATTTTCACAGTAAGTATGCGACAGCTGATGCAAAGCAACACCCACTCACACTACTAGAAGGCATGTTGCCAGGCTCACTTTGTCCACCAGAGGGAGACAGGTAGCTCGAAATGCATCAAAGCCACCTCTCCTGCCTCCGATGCAGGCAAAAAAAAGCGTCTTGTTCACAGCACAAGCAAAGGAGAAAAAGACTAAATAGAAATTACATAAGCTCCCCGAACTGCTCCAAAAAATAAAACCTTAAAACAAATATTAAAGTAAAGCACTGTGGTAAAAACATAAACTCTTTTCATGTTCTTTTTCTTTTCTAATTGGATGTAGGAAGTGCAAATGCATTAAGTTTCTCATCTCACCCATAACAAACTGGGCCCTCTGCTCTGTCTAAATCTTTGACCTCCCTCCCCCCACCCCTCTTATTTTTACTAGATCCTTTCTTTTCAGTGACTTCCCTTTTGGGGAGAGATGGCAGCAACAAACAGCTCGCACCCTCCAAAAACCCAGCTCCAGATAGAAATGCTCTAACTGCCCACTAACCATCTCGCTGAGTCTAGATAACTTCCCAATCCTCCTAGTCCCACTTCAATTCTGGTCCAAATTTGATCTTGACCACCAAGATTCAGTAGCACACCAGCATCCCGACCCCTGTCTGCCTGTTCTTTACCCCATGTCCTGTCGTATTTGCCCTTTGCTCTAACCAATAGCATATGTGTGCACTAACCAGTCTAATTTCCTTAGCTGTCCTAAGCTTGTCTTTTACTTGTAGCCCTCTTCTTCTACCCAGCCTGCACTCCCTATCCTTCTCTCTCTTCCTTCCTACACCAGCTTCCTTCTTTGCTGCAAAGCCTTTCCTAATCTCACGTAGCCAGACCCTGGCCTCTCCAAGCTCAGGGAGGTCTGTAGAACCCCTACCAAATACAGTGTTGTTATTTTTCAAATTAATGAAATAATTCTGTGGAGAGCTGTTTTGTACCTCCCAAAACCCCTCAGCTAACTGTTTGGCTCACTCATGTTTTCCAAAAGTAAAATTCCCCTTAACTTCTTAAGTTTTATTTTTCTCCAGAATCTTGAGAGTTATATAAACCAGAGATCAGGCTACATGAGATTTCTTCTTTTCTCAGTCCTCCCTGGTAAATCTACCCTTCCCCACTTCTGAATTCTCCTCCACCTGTCTTCCCATCTCTCCTCCTATGATGCCCTTTGATTCGTGTCTCCCACCTTCCTCTCTCCTTCTCTCTCCCCTGTTTCTTTCTAAATAACTCCTTTTCTAACTTCCCCATCTATCCCTCCCCTCCTCTATTTTTTCTACTGCCTTCACCCTTTTGCCCCAGCTGCTGTGGGAGCCACAGGCTTTGTGGCCTCCGAGCAGTACAGGCTGTGTGCTAGCTCCCCTTGTTGTCTCCCTTCCCCCTGCTAGGTAGTGACTAACCATGTCCACCAGAGAAATGAGCCTCTCCCCGTCCGAATCATGGAGATGCCGAAGCACGCCACCTACCCAGTGTGGGTGCCGGAGTGGCAAGCCGAGCGGGAGTTTCAGCTCATGACCTTCTGAGGAGCGGCGAGCCGAGGGTGGGAGGAGGGAGGGTGAGGGAGGAAAGAAGGAGGAGGAGGAAGCAGAGGAGGAGGATGGGACGGAAAGCTAAAGGGGCGATGTCGACACTTCTTCAGTGACACTTGAAGAGTGCAATGGGTTCAGGAGAGGAAGACTTACAGTCCCAACCTTTTGCCATTTTACAAAACAACAGAAAATATTTCATCAGCGCAACAATATCGAGGATGTCCCCTTCCTAGCTTTGTTCGTTCTAAAAATAAATTGACCTCTGTCTTACAAAGAACAAGTTCTCTAAAAGTTCACTGATCGAGCAGGTTGCCATCCATGTTTTCTAGTCACACTCTTGTAAGTAGTCCACCTTCTGTTGATTTTGGGAGTTTGAAGAGAAGTACACAATGAAAGAAAATATGCCTTAATGTCCTTAGTAGACGAGAGTTGATGGATCAATATCAGACTCACTTTATTCATTACATACAGTGTATTTTGTTCTAATTTTATAAAGAACATTGGTCCAAGAATGTTTTTTCTGTCCACTTGTAATTACATATAAAACTGTTTGTCAGATTCATGGCACTGGCACTGGGACTCTTGAATTAAGAAAAATTGTATGCAATGTTCAGTGTATTGAGTTAACAATATTGGAGAGAAAAATAATTACTTTGGGTCTATAGTTTTGGCCCAAATTGAATCTGACTACAAAAAACATCAGATGAAGTTTATTAGAAAAGCCCCTTGAAATAGGTGAATTTTTAAAAATAATGCATTAGTTTGACTGTTTTATTAAGTAATTAAAACTCCAAGCTTTACTGCATAAGATCTTGTCACCCTGTCTTTGCTCTCTTCACCGCCTTCACAAATCAGACTCACCAACCGCATTTCAGACAGTTTTTTCCATAACTGTCCTCGACCACTAGGTGTCAGCACAGTACACATTACTCTTTCCTAGTGCTTCCATGGTCAATAACTCTAAACAGTCTGTTTTGTAGTCTGTCTGTGGTTTCCTGATGTCTTCAGGCTGTCTGTCCCTTTTTTGTGTCAGAGCACACTGTTAGGTGATTATAACAGCATTTTTATACTTAACTCTATCCCACTCGTTCATTCATATTCATTCAGTCCATTTATCAATGTCTGCCATTCGATGTTTCCCATTTTATGTTTTCAGTCCCTTGACTTGTTTCTGGATCTCCACAAAGCAAACAAAACAAAAACAAACAAACAAAAAAAAATTTAAAATAACCATTTCACACTGTTTTTCAATATTTGCAGATTTGTGCTTCTGTTTCCAACCTTTCATCAACAAAAAGGGCTTTCCAACTCCTTCCGAATTAGAAGACCATGATGGTTAAAAAAAAGAGTCCCCCTGCTTTGCCAGTCCTGATAGAGAGGAGATTAATGATTGAGGACTTAAAGCTTGTTGCTGCTTTACTCTCGGTGCTTTATTGCATTTAGGGTAATGCATAGAACTCGCACTATACGGAAACCATAGGACTTTGCGTCTAACGCAGCCGAAAGTCGAGTCCATTTGAGTGTTTGAGCGCACTCAAAGTAGACTGTCAAATATCACGACGTGAGACAGACTGTAGGGACTCTTCTGGAAATGCCCCGTCCACCCCTGGCCCCTGGCCCCACTCTCATTCAGACACCCCCATAACAAAAACACGCTGTACAGTCAAGTCACTCTTGGAACTGTTATCCAGCCACCCAAAGGACACAACCTTTTCTTACATGACATCACACTGCCTTTTGCCATAACTGAGGACTCAAGGACTCGAGGTGCCAAGTTGTTTTTTGTTCTTCCTTTAAGAATTTCCTACAATCATTTGGTCAGTTTCTGTTTGATTCCTTCTTATTTTCCAGGCAGTATTAAAGTATTGAATGGAACTGAAAATGTCATATAAATGTATTATCATAGAGGTATTTTAGATTTGAGTCATTTGTAGTAATTTTATGAAGGCCTTCATAAAAATCAGGGTAGTATGTCAGGGTGTTGAGGTATTACACTGAAAGTTGCCAACGAATGAAACTGGGTTGCACCGACTTGTATGAATGTAGTTAAACTTAACGTCTGTTTACCTTTTATTTATTTAATTTGTTTTTGCACATTTAGTTGTTTTTATTCCTTTGTTTATTTTTATTTGTCTCAGTTTAGGTTTGGTACAGAGATTATGAACTCTTGCATAATGGCTTTTCTATCATGAACGGATTGATGAAAATATAGACCTCTGTATATCTTGTATTGTATTTTATTTACAATGGTACTCTATAAAAAGTACATACATATAAGGAGTATATGAAATAATGCCTTTATTGTCCATCCTATATTTTGTGGGAACTGCAATGTTTGGCTCAATCTGTTGAATATTTTGAAGTGAACTTTGTGACTTGCTTTGTATGGTGTCTGTATAGAAGCTAAACAAGTCATCATAAAAAATAAAATGTTGGAAAAAATATCAACACCAGAGTCAGTTTACTTGAAGTCAGACTCTACCTCTTCTCCATTGGTGACTGGACATTTCTCATGTTCTGAGTGAGACCATACACACTCATGTCTGTCCCTGCCTGTACCTCATCTCCTTATTTGTGTTGGGGTGGGAAGATTATTTTTAAATGATTTATTTCCATGTAAGGTTATCAATTTACTAACCATTTTTCCTTTTGCAGGCACAACCAGAAACTTGAAATGTTCATACATTCCTGTGATTTTTGACACTGCACTTGTTTGATATTTGCAAAATAATTTTATGTCCCAACAGGTTTTCCAGGTCAATGGTCAGAGGAGGCTACTTGTACTGATGTTTTCTTTAAAATAACCATTTTCCCTTCTCTCCCTTTAACCTGTTATGGACTTTAACTTGTCTATCATGCTATGAAAGCTCTTATTAGTGCAACTATGCTAAAGGCACAGCTGAGGCTACACTGGGTATAGCAGCAGCTCATCTGCAGGGCCACTAAGGGCCCACTGGGTCACAAACAGAGGGATGGATCCCCCCAAAGGGTTTCAGGGCTGAGTCATGACTCAATGTCTGGTTGTCCTTGGTCTCCTCTGTGTTGAAATGTGTCTAGTGTTGTCTTGGTTTGGTCTCTTTTTTAAATTTTTCTTTTGAACTTGCACGTCAGTGTTACTGCTGTTTGTTCTGCTGGTCTGCTTGTTTGTTAATTTCAAGCTTCTTTTGAGACTTTTATTTTGCAAAGTTGAGTTTCTTCACAAAATATTGCAAATGCTCAGAACACCATCCCCTCACCTCCCCCACCCCGGCCCTCAGTCTATTTCTCTCCCTCACCCACATGCACACACACACCCCAAAAAAAACACCTCACAACTCCCACACTGCCTCGTTGTTAGTGTGTCGTTTCATTTGCTAACTGACCTTCTTGTTTTCTTGCAGTCACGGAAAGCCAGTGAACAAACAAAGAGCGTTGACAGTAAAACAGACAGCATAGGCAGTGGAAGGGCCATACCCATCAAGCAGGTAAGCACTTTAATTGACTTCTTTCCTACATTTCCCATAATCCCCTGGGTAAGTATGATCCCCTTTGTGTAGGTAATGTTCTTAATGTTGTTTATATGCTGTGTTTTAGATATTTTATCAGTTGATAGGCCATAGTGGATCAGGCAGCCATGTGTTACTTTAGCCACTAGATGGCGACATAATACAACATAATAAATTAACTTCAACTTAATTTATGTGTAGCTGAAGAGTAAAGAAGGCTGGGGGTTTAGACATAACACCAGCTATTAACAAAGAAATGTGTGTGTGTGTGTGTGTAAAACACATACCTATCAACTTGAAAATGTGTAGTTTTGATACTATAAAGGCACAGTGATTCAATTTCTGACATTATGAATTGCTGATAAATTCACGTGTGTAATTGAAGACTTCTGGATAATGCAAATAATGATTCTAATCCTGTTATCAGTTTTGATAATAATCTTAAATTTAGATCATGGATGACACCTTTACTAAAAACATGTTTGGTTTTAGTGGACATATTATTTTATGAATGCTCATAATTGTGTATGGGTATTTTTTGTAAGAGCTTTCATTAGATGTCCTAGTAATTTGCTTTAATCTGACAGTTTGTTAAGGTAGTTTTATATTTTGTTACATGGTGCAACATTAAATAATCACCATTCTGTTTTCTATTTTGAAATATTTACCTATTTTTCCATTGCAATACTTTTTTCTTTTCATTACGATTGTCTTCATTGTTTTATTTCTACTTATATACTCGCATATTGCTTTAAAGGACCAGATGGGGAGTAGTGAACAGTGAATTATACATTTGAGAAAGGATCATTTCTTAACATCCAACTGTAGCCGAAGGAGAAGTAATTGACACATCACATTGATTAGCAATCACTCGTGATTATATGAGAGCTTTTGAAAATGGGTCAGCATCCTTATATTATCCTCTTTACCTGCAAATGATAGAAGATAGTGTCTTCTTTTTTTTTTATGTTGAGCCAGACCGTCTAATTCCTTTTGGAAGAAAATTGCCAAGGCTTCAGTCCAGCTTAAATAATGGCAGGGTGCCGCTTCCGAGCCCCATGGCTCAATCAGAAAATAACACTTTGGGGAAACCACAGTTTAACAGATACTGTATCTATCAGTCGATTTCTCTGTGAGTGGTTACAGATGCAGTGTTTCATGACATAGATTTTTTTTTTTTTATTAAGAAGTGTTGATTATTAAGAACTTTATATTGACTTACTTGTACACATCTTCAATTAAAAAAATTTAAACAAAACAGGTAGCATAACATTACTTAAAACTCTTAGGCGGCAGTTCCAGCAACATGGCATTTCTGTTTGTTCTCTGTAAAGATCTTGGTTTTATGTAGATTAGTGTAATCCCCTGCAGGACCTGGCTCAGGTGATCTGAGGTTGATTTTCACGGATTAAAATCCCCCTCAGAGCAATCTGTTCTGTAAACTCTGCTGTTCTTATCCAACACATTATAGGGAGCTCCCTCCTAAAGTCCAGGGCCAATTTCCCTGAGTATCATTGCAACTTTTAACAAGATAAGCCATCACCCCCCCAGCCCCCATTTATCTACAAAGGATTTTTTTGGAGGGGGAGTCTGGCTACAGATGTGGTAGGAGGGATGGATGGGGCCACTAGTGTGACTAGCTGATCCCCCGGCCAGTCAAATGCACAATCAAGGAGATCAAAGTGTCAATGTGAGCAAATACTGAGTGAGGATAACAATGCACTCACTACTGAGGAGCTGTTTGTGGCAATCCCACCCCATCACCGAACCCCCAACCCAACCCAGCACACACACACACACACACACACACACACACCAGCACACAGTGTTCCCCACTCCCTGGCCTATCACAAAGGGCCGGCCTATCAGTCAGCCACAGTGGCAGGATGCAGCTTTTCTCCTGGTCGTCTGACAAAAGCAGGGAAAGACACTATCTCCTCTGTGTAGATATGGCAATTGTGTGGACACAGAGCGCACGTCTGACGATTGGCCTGTTTCCTTATGTCACACAGGCTGAACACACTCATGTCTTTGTGTGTGTGCGTGTGTGTGTGTGTGTGTGTGTGTGTGTGTGCGTGTGTGTGTGTGTGTGTGTGTGTGTGTGTGTGTATCTCGGGTGATGTGTGTTGAAGGCAAGCACAGGATTCCACACATACTGCCTTTAGAACAGCCTCTAAACCAAAATGACAAACAACAGAATAATCATGATACATAGTTTTTTCAAATATTACTGGACACGTCACAACCATGATAAACTGTTTTTAATTAAAACAAGAGAAAAAGAAAGTCTAAAGATTTACGCACAATTTTCTTAGTATCTTTATTGATCTGCTTTACAGCTTTGGTAAATATACGAAGCTCTGCTCTGATTGCATGTATAGATTTATGTATGCTTCAGTAGGACCAGGAGATGAGCAACATAACTGCTTGTAAAACATGCATTATAATGTCACCAGAGGCCCTATGACTGGATCATTTACTTTATATGATTAGAGAGACATTTAAAACTTGTTTACGTTTTTTTTTAATTGAATAAATTGAGAGGAGTCTGGGCAGAAGTCCCAGAAAGTATCAATAGTTCTAAAATAGCTAAACTAAGGAATCATACTCCTTTTTTGGCCATTTTTGTTTCTCCTCCCCTTCTTTGTTTTCTAAATATCTGATGTTATTACAGTGCTCATCTCGTTATGGTACTTGTTCAGTACGTAAAAATAAAACACACAAAAACAAAATGTATTAAGCTTCAACAACAGAAGAAACACTGATGCTGGTCTGTTTTGTCTGATCTTAGTATGTGTTTGAAAAGCTTAAGATTCCAGTGGAAAATTTTCTTCTACACTTTGCAACTTAATGATTTTACTAGAGAAGAGTAGAAAGGATAGAAAACGTTTAAGCTGTATTTTAATGTCTACTCAAGGGAAAAGCTGGTATATCGATAAGATATGAAGAAGCCCAAACTGTTGAATCCCAGCATGCAGCTAGAAGTCAGTACTTGGCCACCCCCAGATGAATCAGGGTTCGGATTAGGATGATTGTCAGCAAACAACCTGGTGCCCAGGTCACCAAGGGTCAGCGCTTCCTGATGTGTTAATCAGGATTAAGGCAAAACACTACCCCTTTAACCCCGACCCCTTTTTAGCTCACATACACACACACACACACACACACACACACACACACACACAGACCCTGGCTGTAAAAGAACAAACATTGCTCAGGCTTAATCCCCTAATTAAGTGGGGTCCTCCTCACTATTTAACCTCAGAGAGCCTCCTGGCTGTTGCACTCTGTAGCGTTTGGTCACCTCCAGCAGAGGAACTGCATTGTTTACCAGTGGATTTACTCAGCAGATAAGGAAAACCATCTGAGGCCCTAAAAGGCCCCAGATGATAAAGCAGAATAGAATAGAGGCTAAGTGGGCTTTGAAGAGGGGAGATCACACTCCCTAATCCGAGGATTGAGAGGTCTTCCAGAGTTCAGCATGTTATGTGTATGAATGCAGAGAGGAGGTTTGGCAAATTGGATTGTCTCTCTGTCTGAATGGTCTCTGAGCCAGAGGAACTTGGCCAGTTTTGGAGGCTTAAAAGGTCACAATAGAAAAACAAACATATATCTTACATGTTAGTCTACAAATTTTAGTAAATTAAAATGATATACCTGAAAAAATGACAAAATAAAAAATAAATAAAACATTTAAAGGGCTTTAATTATGAATGACTCTTAAGTTCACATATGTTCTACATTTTCACTTCTGTGCTGTTTCATAATTGTCACATAAAATGCTGTTTATTTGCTTTGTGACTTACCACAAACCTCGGTGTTCCTGCTATAACAAATCAGCAATAACAATAATAATGCCGTTTGATGGTATTTAACAACCATAATGGCTCATATCATCCACCATGCTGCTTTGAGAGGAGCGTGTGCTCACCGTGATGCCGTATCTCTTACAGGGAATCCTTCTGAAGCGAAGTGGCAAATCCCTCAACAAGGAGTGGAAAAAGAAATATGTCACACTGTGTGATAATGGCGTCCTCACTTACCACCCCAGTTTACATGTAAGTCTCAACCCCCCCATTCCTTTTCCAATCGCCTTTATGTGTTTGTTACACTAGTGTTTGTACTCGAGGGTGCTGCTGCTTAATGTAGGACTTTTTCAACCACTGAGCACAGTTCTCTTGATGCGATTATTTTTACCACCACTGCTGTACAGAACTGGATTACAGCAACACAGGCTCATGATTTCTACAGATGTATTGCTTCATACAGTGGCTATATTAGCTAACCTTGTGACTTTAAGATTAGTATTAAGAAACGGGGTGTCTTAGTGGTCATCGCTTCACCCCCTGTGGTGTATATCCCTGATGCCGGCTAATGGAGACATGGCTGTGCTACTGCGTGCCTGCCGCGCCTAGACTCCACGCTGGCTTGTATTTATAATGGTTCTCACTGCATGGCAGCAGAGCCTGACCAGCCTCCCACATCCATCTTTGTCAGAATCCTGCTGGGCCGCTAATACCTCTTAAACACTCGGCTGGCTGGCAGCAGACAGCTCAGGAAGCCGGTGCCGTCCTTCTCAAAAACCCCTTTGATTCCTTCCATCACTTTCTAATTCTTCCTTTCCTCTGTTTGGTGTGTTTAGATAACTTGGGAAGGTAAAATGAAAGATTTCAGTCAGCAACTAGTAACTAATGAGACATCTCAAACTTTGAACGCAAGCCCCAACAGTTAGACGTGAACCTTGTGTGCGGCCTTGTTGCACTGACGCTGTGTTAGTGGTTAAATTTACAAGCAGTTATTAGCAGAGCAGCGCTGTGCTACAGTGATGTATGTAATTGACTGAACAGGCTATCTCTCTATTACAGGTCATCAGGGCAGTCTATGAATCTATGAATCTGTTGTCTTACGGAGGGAGGTGAAATCAGGGAGACAGTTACATTAGCACAGTAACAGCTCGAGCTCATTTGGAGCAGTGGAGCAGAGAAGGAGTAGAAAAGGGAGAAGGGGAAGAGAGAGAGACTGAGAAAAGGAGAGAGGGAGGAAGGAAAGAGGGAGGAAGGCAGACTGAGAATGGAAGAGGGGAGCCTTTAATTTCGCAGTCAGCCAAGCCATCCACACAATCACCTTCTGTTAATTCTATCTGCTACATCAATTAAATTGTTTGTAGAAACTAATTGAATGTGGCTTAATCACACATCTTAATAGCTTTGCACGCTTCGATCTGGCTGTTAATTCCAGCAATAAAATGAAATGAGAGCGCTCACTGGGTAATTAGCGAGGAGGCTTGGGAAAGAAATGAGTGCTTTATGACATGGTAATAAAGTAGAGGAGCCGGTGGGGGGACGGCAAAGGCCGAGCTCGCCTCTATCTGGGTCTTTTTTTGCTGAGCCCAGTGATTTTCACCTTGGCTTCCCACATTTGGGCCGTAGTCGCTTTAAACCAAATCAAATGGCCAAATTGAAAGCGAATGAGACTGTTTGCATTCATTAAGCCCAACATCTTGCTATTTGGAGAGACGGCGTGGGCACAGGTGATGTATAATGGCTTTACAATCATTTTTCCACTATCACACACGCTTGATGGAAGGTCTACGATGGGTTGTGACTAATGGGGATGGAAATTGAATAGTCTTTTAATTTGTTTTTCTTCCATAATTCCTGGATTCTTGTTGGTCCACTGTGTATAATCAGGTCCCTGAATTGGGGGATATACCTTGAAATATCTGGACTCTTCCTTGTGTAGAGTGCAGGCCACTTACTGTTGTCATGTTCTGTTTACATCTTTATATTTAGGACTACATGCAGAATGTGCATGGGAAAGAGATCGACTTGCTGAGGACAACAGTCAAAGTTCCTGGGAAGCGACCACCCAGAGCTGTGGCCACCGTCGCCCCCACTGCGAGCCCCAAAACCAACGGGCTGACCAAGGACCGCAGCACCTTCCAGCTGGGTGTAGGAAACACAGGTAGGGCTCTCTGCCTCAGTACAAAGCTAAAGGCCAAATTCATGGAACAGGATTTTTTTCAAAAATGTCCAAACTAAATGATTAATTGATCAAACGAGAAAATAATTGGCAGATTAAATATTAAAGAAAATAATCATTCATTGCAGCCTTAGTTCTGAGACTCTGCAGCTTGCAGAAGTGTCCAAACGTAATTAATTGGTATATTTGTGACGTGTAGTTGTGGTGCTGGAGTTTGCACATAATGATGATACTGAAAGGATGCACATGGTACACCAAGGGGATCTCTCATATATGTTATATACGACCCAGCAGAGAAAACCAATCACAAGTACAACATGTAATGGTTACTCAATTACTCTTTTATTACTGCACTCATTTTCTATGTCCTCAGTTTGTGATTATTCATAAAAATGGGTCCCAACAGGTTAATTATTTAGATTCCATATGTTTCATCCATGCAAATTAGCAGCCTCAGTCAGAGTATACACAATAATGACTTAATGAGCATATATGAGAAATCAATTAATTCTTCAAATTACCAGGCAGGGAATTAAAATTGTGTTATCACGAAACATTAAGGATTGTTTTACTTGAACAATTATGACACTGACCTAGTTGTTTTTCACTCCCTCTGGTAGAGAGAGTCACAGCAGCAAAAACAGTTTGGTCCTGAACACTATGCCAGGGTTTCTCCACCTTTCAAGCTTAAAAATAGAGCTCCTCTCCCACAAAGCTGTGCCACCAGAGGCTGCAGAGAGTCTGCCAGGCATACAGAGTGGAAGCCAGTGATTGGATTTAGGGGTTAGGATTAAGAGTAATTAATACTAATTAGCGAAGTGATCCGGAGGGAGACGGGGGTCCTTCGTCGGCTTTGAAATGGACATAGTGTTTCCATCTCTCAGGCTAAAGCTAAGCGGCTAATAGTGGGTGCAGCGCCAGAGACGGGTCAGCGGGGACAATTAGCATTGTCCAGGTAGGTTACTGTTAAACCTGGCCAATATACTGCCACCACTCAATGGGTTAATCAGTCAAAAGCAGAAAGATGTAGGACTTCACAGAGCAGAGGACATTGGATCGAGGTTGTTTAGTCCCACAGCCTGTTAACCTTGAGTGCTGGGTTGAGGGGAGTCACTGGTGCAGACAAGGGACCCTAAAAATCAGGTCAGACAAGGTTTTGGGAAAACAGCACCAACTGGTTTGCCCCCCCCCCAGTTCATTTTTTTGACTGAATAATGTTTGCTTTTTGTGCTCATTTCTTGGAAAAGACTCCTCAATGACAGATTCCCAAGATTTTCAGTTGCCATCCATTTGTGCATCAGGGAACAATGTGAGGGAAATTTGTCTTAATCTCCATTTAGGAAAAGAAAGGTTACAAATCACATCAGGTCTCTCTCCGGGTGGAGGACCCTCTTCTGATTATGCGATCAGGATTTTGATTTCATTAGACATGCAATTGACGAAGGGAACAAAGGGGTAATTTTTCATTCATGCTGTCCAAATCACAAGCCTTGTCTGTGCCTTTGGTAATACTTTCATTCCTTAGATCTAAAGACCTTTATAATCACTGGGAGAAGAGGGATAGCGGCGGAGAGAAAGAGGGGCGGAGTGGATGGGGGAGATGGGAAGAGGAGAGGTTGAGAAGACAGAGAGTAAATGAGAGAACGCATGCGCTCACAAGTTTGCCAAGCGGCCAGGTTTAATTCCTTTGCTGTGTGCTGAGCGGAACCATTTTAAATATGATCCTCCCTGTTAACACGCATCCTGCCGTGTCACCCGCGACAGATACATTGTATCAAAGTATTAATGGGCCCAGTCACTTTTAATCAATCCTGTTGGGAAGAGAAGTGCATGTAGAAGAGGTGGAGATTTCAGGAAAGTGTTTAGCTCGTTCTCTCTTTACTCTGCACCATAATATGTCTCCAACTCGAGTCAGTAACACTGTTTAACCAGGACTCGCATACGTTACGACCAGCAGGCCCTGCCAGTGCCAATATGAGATTTTTCAGCACTGATGCAGCCTGTTGTGGGTGTTACATAAATCCGTGGCTCTCATTCTAGTCTGAAACACCCAACCCTACTGGTTAAGGTCAAGTACCCCTTTATTAATACTATACGTCATGTTCGAAATGTGTTCATTTGCACTGATTTAAAACAGTTTCATAACTCTGTTAATTACATAAAAGCGGCTATTGTTTAAATTGTTTTCATACAGGAGGCATTACAGAATTGTTAATGTGTCAGCCCAGTTGCTTTATTACTGTGAAGGCTCCTCTTTGCTCTATTTTGCCTTGGATTGTGACACATTCGTACATCACTTTAAACAAAAGCATCTGCCAAATGAATAAATGCAATGTAAATGTAAGTTAGCGTTTTAGTAGTGCTTCTTCAGAGAGCAAGACTCTGAATGTTAGGTGTTAGTTTCAACTTTTCTGCTAACTGTAGTTGCCATGCACTCTCAGTTACCGCACATGGCGTTCAAATGCTTCTACCTCCTCGAGCTGATAGGAGAAGTGTCTTGTGCATTCATCTAATTGATAGTTGATAGTTATTGTAACTAAATTCACTAAAGCAGAAAAGAGAGAAAAGTCTCAGACCCATTTGTGGCCCAAATAATTTTTAATATGTACTACTGCACGCACACACACATATATATGTAGACTCATACAGTTACTTAGCTTTCATCTTTGTGCAAATCACATCCAAATGTTGTCAGAGTCGTAGTAACAGGAAGGCACAACAGTTGTGATCTGAAAATGTATGCAGACTTCCTCTGACTATTCCAAACCATATTATAAAGCTTGAATAAAAAAATGTTAATTTGTCCAGAAATCTGAATAAGTAATGAAATCAAGATGCTAATCAAGTGTTGAAGTAAGTTTCTTTGTTATTTTGATGCATGCATTGTGTGCAATTATGGTACATAAGGCATAGTTGTCTGAGTGACTCGTGCGGGGACTGGCAGCAGCAGCAGAGGCAGGATCGGGGTGGAGGGGGACATCTGGGCGTTGGTCGTGATGATGGTGGTGGATTACACACAGCCACAGATGATGTGCTGCTCGGCCTACATTAGCATGAATGCTTCATTATCCCACTACTTGTACATAATGGCAACAACTCCACGGAGGGGTGAGGCCTTGTCACGGCTCATCAGCCCACTGACGGCCCGGCCTAAAGAGAAATGAGAAGCAAGGCAGCCCTGCTCCCTGCTAATCCATCGCCTCTACTTAACACCCCAGCCCTGGATATCCTACAGTGCACACTGTATGACTTTTGCTGTCTCTTGAAACACACGATGATACAGTCAGCAAGAAATACTCATTATGTTCTTTTGTACTTTTAGGTTCCCAGTAATTTTAAGGAAATGTACAAGAATTAGTAATAAAATGTTTTGTTTTAGACGTATCCATGTACAATCATTTCCTCAAAATGTTTATTTCCAGCAAAATGTTCAAAAAGAAAAGTATTCAGATGAGGGCCTGGTTGCTCAGATTGTATTTTTTATTACTAAATATTTTATAATTACTTTACATTGTAGCCTTTTCTATTACCTGTTGGGTAGTTTATCTAAAGAATACACTATTTTATTTTACAGATACTTATATTTTGTACATAAAATCACAATTTGTAAAGGAACTTGAACTTGTAGCTATAGTAGCAGGAAATGAAATTACTCAATAAAAGTAGGAACTTAAAACTGTCCTTTAGCACACTTAGTTCACAACACTGTCCTGATCACAAAAATCTATACAGTATAATATATTGTTCCACACAATCTAGACAAAATTGGGACCTAAATTAAGGTTTGACCTATTCAGTAAATGTCAGGAAATTGTCAACATGTTCTGTATTGTAAACACAGGGCCTTAATAAAACTGCACGCACTGTAAATTAGCGATTAATTCCTGATTTGCTCCATTAAATACATTAAAATGAAATAATATTGTCATTTTGTATTCGTATTTGACCTTCATATCACTTTTATGATCAGTGAAGTCGGTGACATTAGGTGATAAATCTGATCCTTTGCACCTCAGTTTGCAGTTCGTCACTGTCAGTCCATCGTAGTGCAACTGCTACAAGTGTAAAACGTACTGGAGTCAGTCCTGGCTGGAGCTGCGAGTGCAGTGCTCCTTTAATGCCACAAGCTGATTATTTCTCCACTGTAATTACATTATCCTCCCCTTTATGCAGGAGTGGTCTCTAGGGACTAATGGATACATCCATGTATAATTCATTAATCATTAGCATCCAATTTGACAATTAGACATGATTGTTGAATTTTAAATATCAATCGATGTTGCCTTGTAGTTATCTGACAGGGTTTTTTTTGTATTTCTCTTTTTTTTAGGTGTCAGAGTCAAACTTTAGAAATAAAGGATGTAGATCTTTTTTTTTTTTTTAAACAAAAAAAAATGTTGTTCAAGGAGTTGCACCTATAAATAATGATGTTGGAAACTCAGAGTAATATTGGGTCTCAGCTGTAAACAAAGAGACACAGTACTCTGGTTTTTTAAACATCATAATTATAAATGCTTTTTTAATTCAGTAATGATACAACAAATCACAAGCCTTTTTATAGAAGTTGTGAGCTTATTTTATGTAGCATTCATCCGTCACTTTTTAAAAAAACAAAGTTTCACATTTTCTTTTCAGTGCCCCTACTCCTCAGCTCCGCTCCCCCCTTCCTCCTCCTCCTCCTCCTCCTCCTGTTCTGCCTCCTCCGCTCTGATTTCAGCATGCTAATTTAGTCAGCGCTCCTCAGCATGATTCCCTCGCTCTCTCTCCCATTCTTGCTGCGATTCTGCTCCCTCCCCTCTGGGACCTGAAGATTAATATTCCTGGGCCCAACAAGATAATTACTGATACTAATTAGACATGATTATGTGAATTTGATACACTTATTACTCTAGATAATGAGTAGGACATATTATCCTAACAAGCACCCGTGCCGCTTAGTTTACTTTACACACGACCCACACACTATATTTTCTGTTATTGTCACCTCAATCAGAAACTGATATTCTTTTTTAATTATTGAATAAAAGGCCTTGACATGTAATACCTGTAAGATGAGGAGGCATTGTTGAGAAAATCAGTTATGGTTTGTTTCCCAAAACAAAACCCCTGAAACTTTAACCTTATGGTGTCAGAGCAATATCTGTTTATCTCATTACATTTGATTCTTTTTAGCATGTAGTTGTGCAGCCTGTAAAAAAAAAAAAAGTTAGCGTTAACTTCTAGGTGAGAAAAGCCTGTGAAAATGAACTTTTTGCTGATAAATTTTATTTGTAAATAGCATATTTTTTCTTATAGGTCATGCAAATTCAGTTCTTATTAGTGTATTTACCTGAGATTCAGTTTTTGAGGGAAAAGACAATTTTGGAGTAATTAGTTGTATTTCATGACTGTTCAGTCTGACACTGTTTGAAGCTTAAATTCTTGATCTGATTTCCCGCATATGACTGGAAGTGTATTGGTGAGTTTGTCAGAGTAGTTAGGATATGCTGTAGCGACCGCTCCCGAACAGGAGGGAAGGACCACACATGGCGCAGCCTAGCAAATGAATTAGTAAAGAGAGCCAGGCGTCCGGGGCTCGTCTGATTGGAAGTTAGGGAGAGAACGCCCGCTGACGCCAGTGGAGATCGATGTGGCAGTCAGAGGGATGAGGCGAGATAATTAGCGTTCAGAGTGTATCTTGTTAATTAAGGGCTAATTAGAGGCAGAGGCGGAGGGAGAGGGGTTTTGTGTGTGTCTCTATGAGGGGTTTGTTTGACAGAGAGATGTGCACAAATAAGGTGGCAGCAGCATTGCAGTGCTGGAGAAACTAGTAAAAAAACTCAATTACATCATTATGATGCCTTTACAGTCTTTTTTGTTCAAAGAAAACAATCCTGCCCAACTAAGTTAAGAATTCAAGGCACCATAGAGAACATCAGAAATCAGGATTCTCTTTTCTGTGTGTGACTGTGTCTTATTTTCCAGGGGCCCCTCACTCCAACAGTAGTACGTCCCTCCAGACGGGTGGGTCGTTGTTTGGTGGGAGTAAAGATGGCATGCACCAACGCTCCTTCTCTGTGTCCAGTGCCGACCAGTGGAATGAGGCCATCAACACCAGTACAAGCAGCGGAGCCCGTAAGACCTCCAGTTCCTGCACCTACATAATATAAATCCATTCAAAAGTCCTCATCTTGCATAGTGCAATTAAAATCCACACATTATTACCACAAACATGTGGAGTTCAGTACTTTAAACCAAACTGTTGGATCAGATATTGAGGTGTGGTTCGACAGAGATGCCATTTCACAAGTTTCTTAAACCGATGAAACATGCCTCATTTTCATAATTACGTGATCAGGGTTGTGATCGCTGTGACCTTTTTAGCTGTTGCGCGTTGATAGAAGCAGTGTGTTCAGAGGGGAGGAACAGTGAAGGGTAACTTTTTGCCATTGATGCATCTCCACTTACTGCCTCTGTGTCACACTGCACCTTGTCACTGTACTTGAGTGAAGTAAGATAATATATTTGCCATGCATATCGACCCCCACCCACCATTCTGTCTTTACCTTCCATCTTACTCTCTGCCCCCACCCCCCCACATCCTTCCTCTGTTTTCCTCTCTTTTCTTCTGAAGAGGAAAATGAATGCTTTTCGGGGGTACCATTCATCACCAGTTATTTCCCTCTCTTTGTGGTTGGCAGTAAAAAAGCACTTAAATGCACATCAACAGAATAACAGTCATTTCCATGCATGTTTGCACTCTGGTAGTTCTCATTAGCACGGCGGCGGCTCCCCCCCTCCCCATGGGCTCCCAGGGGCCCCGGCAGTTTAAAGAGCGCACTTTATGAGCGCTGCTGGAGTCCAACTGCACGGCCCTCGTGGTTCCACAGACAAGCCTGTCTCTCATTTGGAGCTGCCAAACGATCAATTCTGCCTGGACGCAGGCACTTCCATCACCCCCTACCCTGTCTCCCATCAGCAGCATGCCCAAAGCAGAATTACTTAGATTCGTGGGGTCCTCAAATAAATGAGCGCAAGTGTATGTTGTGTATGCGTGTGTTCTCGCTGAATTTTTTTGTGTAGCTGGTGTATGTGAGTTTTTTCCTCCGAGGATGTTTGCATCTGTATTATAATGTGTGTGTGGGAGACAAAAGGCTTCGTACTGGATGTTTGTGGATGTGCATCTGGCAGTCGGTCTGCAACAGACAAATAGGAATTCCTAAACGTTGTGCGGTGGAAATAAGGAGGCTCGAGTTTCCCATTTTCATGTTTGGTAAACTGAAAAGCCCTCAATATTAACATAGCTCATTAACCAGCATCCACTCTTCAACTAAATCAGATCCACAATTTGCTCCATTATTCTGTTTTCTTCAATTATTTTCATGCTACTCTTAAGGTAACCACAAATGAGCCAGAATGAGGCAAATGAGCTGAAAATAATAATAGAAATACTGTGTCAAATGACAGATATGTTTTTCGTCCTTAGGAAGGAGTGTCTCTGTAATCGGTGTATAGTCAGTGTAGACAGTTTTAAGGTTTGTAATGGGCACTGAAAGCAGCATCTTTGTATCTCAAAAACTTTCTCTGAATATCTTTTTCTGACAAGTTAAGAATGTGAATTAAAACAGGAGAATATGTCTGTAGTGTAAAGTGTGACTGGACTATCAGAAAACATCAACTTGATTGAAATGTGACCCTCTTTGCTTTCATCCTAATGTGCCTTCAATAATCAATAGAGGGTGTTCCACAGTGATGGGTGCTCATGTTTTGCCTTTTGAATTGACTTGAAGCAAGCCCAATCACTCCATTATCCTTGGTGAAGGTTGCAGGTTAACATAAAATGTGATTCTAGATGCAAAAACTGTAGATTGATGATTCACTGGTGAATGAATGCATCTTAGCCAGGTAACCATTTCCATATTATTTAAAGAATGTCCTCATTTGTAAACCTATTGAGCAAAGGCAGAAGCAGAGGTAGTAACGTCTCTTGAATATTGAGTGCCGATTTTTGATTAAATCCCAGCCCAATTTTTCTATCGCTTGCATTCATAAAGGCACCTATTCTTAATGCACTGGATGCTTGTTTAGATACTACACTCCTTGGTACACCTCAATCTTTGAACCTGAATTAAAAGCAGGAGGTTCAAACAGTCATCTGAGCAATGTGATAAGCTCGCTGGTGACAGTAACTTAAGTCATGGTCAAGTGTGATCATGCTTCCAAAGTCAAAGGATTACTGCAAATCAGTGTGCTAAAAATTCAATACAGGTTATCCTGTTGTTAGATGATCAACATCTTGGTTGTCCACAAAATTAGAGCAAGTAGAATTTGACTAAAATCTGTGAAAATGTGAGCTTTTTAAAAAAGTTCTTTGGAAAATTTACATGATTTTGTTTTTGTTAAACACAAAAAGACTCACTCAGAAGTACAGCTGAAATGATTATAGACAAATTTATCAACATAAAATTTATCAGCATCATTTTACATAAGAATGATTTAAGTTGTTTTTGGAAAACAAAAAAAAAACATTCACTTTATTATATATGATAGCAAATCGAATAACTGGGGTTTAAACTGTTGGTCTCACAAAACAAGCAATTGGGGAATTCTAATGGTCATTTCAATGAAAAATGTATTAATGAGAAAAAGATACAGCAGATTAGTTCATAATGAATGAATAAATGGTCTTATACTTGTATAGCGCCTTTCTATGCTTTTACAGCACACTCAAAGCGCTTTCACATTATTCGGCCATTCACCCATTCGCACTCTCAAGCACTCACGCATTCACACACCAGTGTAATCATTGTGACAACTGGGGGTTCAGTGTCTTGCTCAAGGACACCTCGACATGTTGACTGGACAAGTCGGGAATCGAGCCACTAATCCTCCGGTTAGGAAACGACCCGCTCTACCTCCTGAGCCACAGCCGCCCCGGATAGTTAGCAGCAGTTCAAATGGGAAGGGCATTATTTTACATTTTTACCATGTGAGTTTAAATATAAAACATCATTGCATATTGATAAGTCCACACTATATACAGACACTTTTACTTACTTACTTACTCAATCCTTCATGGGAAGTTTACATCATTTTTTTTCCATTTATGTTGCAGTCTTTTAATTTATAACTTTTAAGTTTGCATATCAGGACACGGGTAGTTAATGCACAGATAGCCTTTTCCTGTGGCACTGTGTTTTATACCTTGGCCTCCTGATGCGAAGGTGATAGCATGTGGGGCTTTTGATTTCTACGCCCGGCCGTAATGAAGTTTGACATTTAGTTTGGAGAGAGCAGCAGAGCGCGATCAGGCCTTGATTAGTACGCTCTAATTGAGGATAATAAGGGGGAGGCGGTGATTGTTTCTAATTTTTGCCATTAATTGCAGCCGTTGGCTTTGATTGAGGACAGGCAGGGCTGCCGTGTCAAGGGGTCTGGTGGAATCATAGTGCTCCTCACCCAGAGCCTCTTGAATAACAATGAAATGACTCTCCTCCCCCTTCATCCCCCCTCTGCATCTCTCTCTCTCTCACCCTCTTTTCATTCTCATTCATTCTCAGTGTGCCGTTGGTAAAGGCAGGAAGCTGTTAGCAGCCCCCTCTTTGTCTCACCCACAACCTTCATCGTGAAGCATGTTTAAACTGTCATCTCAGTGGTGAGAGTGTAATACACTGTAATCACAGGTTAGACTGATACCTATTCTGCTGCCCAGGTGATCTTGGCTGAGTGGGAAAGAGACTCCTGATCCACTGTGTGCTTCATTACCTAGCCTGGTCCTGATGCCCATCATACACACTAACAGCTACCTAATAATGTCATAGTGAATTCTCTGCTTTTATAATCAGTCTGTTTCCAATTTTATAATTCTCAACTTAGGAAATATACTCTAACAGTCATGCATAGTTTAGAGCTGAGAACCACTTAAAGACAGGGGACTATAAAACCATTAGGTTTCAGGTGCGTTGATATTGTTGCTCACTGGTGTGTACTGTAGTTTTATACCTTTCCTGCGTTCCTCCCTATACTTAGATGTTACAGACTTCTTAAAGGCTGATTGGTACAAATAAAGGGAGGTGTATCACCTTGTATATGTTTCAGGTGCAAGATGAGCTGGAAAAGGGTCATTTTCCACAACATTAGGGGCAGAAATTGATAATTAGAGGTGTTTATGACAGGGTTGGGGCCCCTGAAGGGCAGTCCTCCCCTTTAACCTCAAGCGACATTAAACAAATGCTGGCTGTCATGTCGGAGGCAGGTTGGAGCTCAAGTCTTTCACCCGCCATACGGCGCTGTGCTGGCGGGACAGACGCTGGGATGGAGAGGGAGGAGGAACCAGAGAGTGGGGGTGGAAGGGGGGACACATGGAGGACCCCTGTGCCCCCAGCTGTCTGAGCCAGCTAATGACTCGTCTCAGGGGGGCTGTTGTAAGAGAGCAGGGAAATTGAAACAGACGCTTCGACTAGGAGCTGCTACATGTGTGGCTGTGTGCTGCCATTCAAAACACCAGAGAGCTTAATGTATGTAGTCCAACACAAGCACCAGTGTTATGTTTAATAATGCGATGGCACATAATCAATATTATATTTTCAAGTAACATGTCATTATACTTAAATATTAAAAGTACTTGGATGGCCCCTTATCTTCTAACAAACAGTATTTAGCAGCAGTAATAGATAACTTTAATTCATTTAATGTCATTCTTGTTTGTATACATTAAAGCTCATCATGAGGAACCACTGAAGTCGAGTACAGACATAACAATGTGTGTCTCAGGTGTTGTCTCCTATATTTTGCCCATGCTCAAAGAATGCATCCTAGGGCCCTCCAAGCCCACCCACTCACCACCATAACCACCCCCACCCCCCGTTAGCATCTTCAATCCCCTGCTGAGCCCATCTTACTCCTTTAAGACAGCCCCATCTCCCTAAAGGTAATGACCGAATTAGGCCTAATGTTGTACACTGGCTAATGGCACAGTGCCGCACATTATAGCGTGTGCAACTGGCAACGACAACAGCAATAATCCCTGAGCCCCTTGTCCTCCTGCACTCCACCCCTGGGGCTGGGATGGTGCACAGGGAAATGAATGAGTTTGCCACACTACAATGAGCTTTTGATGGGAGACAATGGAGGAGACTGCCAGCACCACACAGGGTGGTAAGAGGAGAGCAATATGGGGCCCATCTACTGGCTCTCCCTCCCTGCTTCCCTGAGGCCCCTGGCCCCTACTCCCAGATTCATAATGGCATCCGGAGGGGGAAAGAAGGGAAAGTGATGTCAAATGTCAGGAAACCAGAAGGATGGCAAGCTGACAACCCCCTCCTAAAGTATCACTCCATCCCTCCTATTCCTTTGCCCAACGGTAGCACAGGTTAATATCACATTTATAAAATCACTTACAAGAAACAAAGCCGACTCTTAGCCCCCTGTCACTCTCAGACAGTCATATAGAGAGCTTTGCTGCAGGCTAACTTAGGTAACCATTTGTTCACTCATAGCCCCATACCTGTCTTTCACTCTATCTAAAGCTGGAGCCACACAGTTACTTTTGGAGCACTCAAAGCCATTTCCAACTTTTACTACTGTAGGCACATTTTTAGGATGTGACAAGTCTGCCTCTGCTTTGCATGATGTTTTCAACAACCTATTCATTTTTATACTCGGTGTCATTTCACAATAATTCACATATTAATGTCTTTCGTACATAAAATCACATTTCATCACGTTTTGAATTGAATATGTACTAAACCAAACTGACGTATTTTTAAAGGAACAGCTTCACTTGTTTGATCCCATTTATAATAGCCTTTTTTGTATTTGGAAACTAAGAATGATTGGACTAGAATTTGGTGGTTCAAAACAAACCTTAGCATGCTTGAATAAGTGACCCGCCAATGGGACAGGTGCATTCAAAAAGGTTTAGATAACTTCTGTGTAAAGCTGACTCCTATGTAGACTCCTATGTAAAGCTGTACCTGTAAAGCTCCTGTGTAAAGCTGTGAAAAAACAAATTCAAACTTTAAAAAAATCCAAACTTTAACATAAAAATAATGATAGCTTTTCCTGCCTTGTCTCTTTTCAGCTAATGGGATGAGTGACCCAACGAGTTCTACTGTGGGTAGTGCCACCAGTCCTAAACTTGAGCCACCTCCTTCCCCTCATGCCAACCGCAAGAAACACAGACGGAAAAAGAGCACGGGCATCACAAAACCAGATGGCTTATCTGCAGGCAATGAAGGTACAATGCAGTCATTTCACTGCAATTCTGAAATGACAGTAACGTATGAAACAAAAAAGGAAATTGTCCATGGGATAGAGATGCCTAACAGGCAAAACATTCAAAGACCAAAGCAGAGACCCAGGCTCATTTCCTGGTAGTCTAAGTACAAAAAAGGTAAGTTTACAGAAACAAATACAACATGAGGTAAGAAACTGCCTGAACAGGTAAGAAACCAGAATGTAAGACATCGTTAAGATGGGAGAGGGCGTCTATTGAACAGCACTGATTAAGAGGTAGAGGAAGATGCCATACAACCAATACCAGGAGGCGTAGTCGATGTCATCAAAATGAAGTTAACTTCTACAGATGATGTCCAACAAGAAAATCTGTGTTCACAAAATGTTAGGTTACCAGGGTGACCCCAGTTCTCTGAAGGCCGAGTTGAGGTATCTTTGCCAAACATCATAAAATAAAGCCTGGTGAATACTGTTAACACATTATTTGGTTATATGAAACCATTGTTGTACAATGTGTGTGGGACTATGGTTCTTGTTACCATTGCTAACTCTGAGAGACGAGGCAGTCCAAGTAACTTCAAAATAGTGCTGATTTATTCAAAGGATCACAAGTAAAATTAACATTACACGCTCAGGTATCTTGCACCTCCAAACTGCTCGCAGGCAGATGTAAGATGAAAGACCCTGAACCCACCAGGCCTATACATTATATCCCCTCGGTTGGGCTAGCCCCATACTACACAGAAACGTCAACCAAGACGTCTCTGTTGTCAGCTTTGCAGCTGGTCATAGCAGTAGTCAAAACATGAAGCAAATCAATGTGTGTGTGTGTTGATTAAGTGGTGTGTAACTAAAAACATTCTCACAGACTTCTAGTAACATGTTGTGACTTAAACATGAGAACATATTATGGCTAAGGCTACAGTTATACACGTCATAATAATAATAATATTAAACACCCTGTCTGCTGACAGTCATCAACTCTTCTCTCTAGTTATCCTTGACCAGATGTACCCTGTAGAAACTCATAAGCAGGCTTAAGCATTTAACAGTCTAACTAGACATCCTATCTCCACTAAACATTTCTAATACATAAAGTATCTATCCAATTTCTATCTGACTAAAAATACCTAACATGTGTATCCAGATTTATTATAAAGATATGGGAGAGACCAAACCTGTCCTGTACTAGTGAAGCTAACTAACTCACAGGTGAAAGGAAGTGGTAAATTACACACATTGTGCATCTCAAAGAAGTCAATGCTGAATTAGGGTGAAAGTAGAAAGAATATTTACATTTAATTTTACAGAAACTTGTCATTTTTATTCCAATGATATAATATGTTTTATTCGCTTAAGGATGTGCCAACCACAGAGGAGCCTTAGTGATCCGCTTTGAACTCAACAGCTTCTACATGCTGATTAGTTTTCTCCTCTCATTATTAAATAAGAGCAGGTAATCTTCTGTTTTCTGACTGAATATGCATATGAAGTACATAAAGGTGTGCAGTTTTGTATCTCTTTGTGGCCCCCTGCACAGTGCACCCCTCACAGTCCTCCCCTTCTTTTTTTAACCGTTGGATGAATGGCCTGATCCTCAGAAGCCATAGCCCTCCTCAGCAGGGGAGTGGCAGTCGGCTCTCCGTCCAATTAATAATGATTCTCCAGCCCAGTGATGAATGGACTACTCTAATTGGATGGCATTGTGAAAACACTGAGACGCATTTCAGAGGCCATAAAACTGATGTCACTTGGGTGCGATGATCAATCAACAAGATTGATACGCTGGATAATAACAACAATGGCATTGACGCCTCCTAAATGGGGCTTAGCATTTATAATCATTATACTTTTTTTATCATGGTCTCTGACAGATTCTCTTTAAAGCCTGATTGGGTCCGTTGACCACATTGTTGTTTGGAGTGAACATTGTCAGCATCTTGCCGATAAGTGGTGCTGTTTTTATTGTTAAGAGTATTGTCACAGCAGCATCATTTAGTGGCAGTCATACTGGGCCCAAATCTGATAATATTCCAGATTAAGCATTATCATTTATATTTTGACAGTATATCATGAGGTGTGATGTATATATTGAAGTACCCTGCAACTCACACTCTCTGTTCGAGCCCGGTCTTTTCTTAAGATGTCCATTATTTCAGTTTTATTTGACAGCACTTAGCTCTTAATGGGCATCTCCTGGCAGAATTACACACTCACATTACAGCCTTGAATGAATGATGGCTGGCATTATCAGACATCATTACATCTCATTGATAACGGCTTATGTAGGCTGGCATAATTTAAGTCAGATTACCCCTGGACTTCCAGAAGAGAAAGTCTAAGAGTAATCAGGCTGCAGGAGGCAGATTCAGAATGTCTCTCACGTCATCAAACACACACATTTTCTGTCTCTCTCATTGTTCTGTGTGAGAATTTTTATTAGCATCAACTTGCCTGTTCTGCTGAATGCTCTGGAATATAGACACATCACTTAAATATTGGATTCACCCAAGTTTGGGATGTGAGTTGTGTATCCTGTTGAAAGACTCAGGGAGAGAGAGAAAAAGAGAGAGAGAGGAAAGCAAAGCGGAGAAGAGGTGGGAACCTTGAATAAATTGCCATCAGTTTATCTCATTTATGGGGCAATCAGAAGCGTGCAATGCAGTCTGAAATTTAATTTTAGTAGTTGAGAAGCATCATAAATCAAAACAGCATGAGGATTTTAAGGTGAGAAGTCATTTTAGTCAATATGGGACGTATAGGATGTACAGGGGAGCCTGGAGAAACTTGCCGCACCGTCATGTCTAAATATGGCACTACAGTGCATAACAGGACTTCTACATAACTGCTGAAGCTGCAGAAAATCCTACACATAGAGTATTTTACAACCCCAATTTCATTGTTATAATTATAAAAATCTACATGATAGACAGCAGTTGCCTACAAATTTTCAAATAGATTTGTAAAGTTCAGCACATGGATTTAAAATCACATTTAATGTCTTGTATTTGCCTTAAAATGCATATATTGATGCAAAGCCATATTTATTTCAAATCAATTTAAAGCTGCATTTGGCTAGTCTATGAATTCACTGTTATGTCTACGGTGATATACTTCCACCAAGGATATGCACAGTGGACACCGTCCTTAATATCCTATGCACTGTCAGAGCTGTGTGGTGTAATGAACTTCTCATGTGCTTAAAGAATGATGCAGGATGCATGGCGAGACAACTGACAGCCCCGTAATGTGTTTCCCAGCAGCCGCTCGGCGACGAGCTCTCTCGGTGTGTCGCTCACCATAAACCCACTGGAAAATCGATGGCCGATAAAGAGTTGTGTTCAGGGGGAGCCCCCTCTGATTAATGCAGACTGTCAGGGAGCATCATTAATGTATTTCTCTTTTAAAGAAAGTGTATCAAATGCTTATTGTTTTGGGGGTGGTTAGCTTCTCCAAAACGAGCAGAAAGGATGGTGCAGGAATGGAGGAATTGTACAAGGCTCCTTCGTGATTCTTCACACAGTATGGATGAAAATATGTATTTACTCATGCCAAGGTCACAGATATCAGGGAGGAAAGCAAGAGCTAGGTGTTTGCCTCAGTACTATAATGCAAAGCAAATGCTTGTTTACATCAAGACTTCATTTCAGATGCAATTTCATACACAGACATCAAACTCTCATCCAACTTTCTTTGCCTTTTTGCATATTTTGAGCAAAAGTGCACAAGGTCTATAGTTTCAACAAAAGATACCAGACTAAAGGAATTATTACTTTACTAGTACTGCAAAATGTGCACTCAAAGTTATAAGAAACTTGCTTTTTATTTTAACAAACTACTTCTTAAATGGTTAATAAACCTATTATTTAATTAGAGATTCAATAATTAAATTAAATCAACAAGTTGTTATAATTTCACAATTTGAACTATTGAGTTAAAGTGATTGAAAGTACTCCTCCACTGGATTGTATCAGCAATTAGAGGAGGATGGGGAAATAATTTTTATGTTTAGAGAAAGTGGATCATAAAACTTAAAACAGAGTTCTACAAAGGTGATGATAATGTTAGCTTTTAATTACAATTATATATATTTATATGCACATGTACATACTGTATACCACTTAAACCAGTTTTAATATCATGTTATTCTGCTCAAAAAGACACAATGGAATCAACTCTACTCTTTTACCAAAGCATCTGATAGACGTAGAGGTATGAAAAGCATCGTGTAAACTAGCAAAAGTGAAGGAAAGACAAAGTCTTTTATCGTCAGTGTTGTAGTCGAGTCACTAAACCTCGAATCTGAGTTGAGTCCTGAGTTCCCAGTGCTGGAGTCCATGTCAAGAAGGAGTCATCGAAGAAAAGTCAGAGTTGAGTCGAGTCCATTACCCTGATACCCGAGTCCAAGTCATCAAGGTCTACATTAAATACAATCGACACAGCTCCCACCATTTTCAAAGGAGTTTACTTGCTAGTGTTTTTTTATTCAGTGCTTATGTTACAAATGAGACAATCATGTACGCTTCAATGGAAGTGTAACAGTTACAGCATGGTGCAGGTCAACAGGCTTTAATATTAATATTCTATACCAAATTATTATGAGCTGTTATCAAGAAAATAAATAAATCAGAGTCCTCATCTCCAACCTCTGAGTCCAAATCTAGTCAGTGATCAGGTTTTATTAGAGGCACGAGTCCTGATTTCCAGGACTAAAGTCAGACTCATGTATGAGTCCTGGACTCTAGTGCTACAGCACTTTTAATAGTAAACTTGTATGTTTGAGTTCACAGTCTTCGTGAAGGTTAAAGGATAAGAACAGAGATGCTGAAAAAAGAGTATTTACCATTGAATGGCTTTGAGGAGCATCATACACAACTGAAGAGCTGAGATGACCTGGCTGAAACAATCAGAAATTAGTTATGTTATATTCCTAAAGGTTTGCTGTGAGGTTCACAGACTTAAAAGATACTGTTTGAATGCCTTTACTGCACTGTTAATATC